TGAAGAGCTTGAAGTTCCTCTTGCATGGCTTTCGCCCAACACGGTTGATTACAAAGGTCTTGTTATTTCTAGGATTGTAACACCTCAAAATAAAGATGGCTTTTTCCTCCTTGCTTTTTTCTATATACATAGATGGAATCCATCAGTGTCAACTAAATTATGATTTTCTCGTGGCATTAATCCGATTATCCTATGTAAAAGCACCCGCAATCCAATTGAAAATAAAAGCATATGCATGTGCATACACATGTACTCCATGCATAATTTTATGGATTTGTTATGCACAGCTAAATTTGAACTAGACCAATATAGTACATGCACATTAAGACTGCAAGAGCAACTTACGCTATTATCGGTAGGTATATGAATATCTTCCCAAATGACAAGAAAAGCCTCTACAATCTAAATTTACAGAATATTATGGTACAAGCTCTTATAATCGATCTATTTAAGGTGATAAAGGTACAAAAAGGAAGAGTAAGGTTGAATCTTTCCTTCATGGACTTTAAGCCTATGTTCGAGCCCCAATTTTGTAAGAAAAAATATTTTGGAATAATGATTTTTTTGGAGAATGTATGATTTAAAAATAAGAAAAAGTTTTCGATTTACGTGTAAAATTATTTTATGGGAGAATGTGGAGTTGAAAATGAGTTTTGAAAAAATAAGTTTTTGGAAAAGTTGGAGGTGATGAACCACATGGACACGTGATTTTTAAAAAAAGTACAGACACGACACGTCATCGACGCATTGATTAAATTCTTAAAAATTCCTCATTTATATAGTATAAATTTAGTTTTATACTTATTATTAATTTTTCTTGTACACGCTACCTTAATTGAAGTGTCTGTGCGACTGAGATAGAGGCCAATCATAGGTTAAATCTCTTAAACAAAAATATTTTAGTCCTCAGAAATTCCTTGCCTTCAACCAAGTGATTCCCAGACATATAACGTTGAAAAAAAAAATTAAATAAATGGATTTTCCAAATAGAAAAATTAAAGAAACATGATAGTTTCCCCTCAATTTTAAACTGCATAGAGAAGAAAAAATATGGTAGGATCTTGGTATTAAACCTTCAATGAATGAGCATCAAAAAGCTTGACGAGAAAACCTATGGTCTAAACATTTACAACTAGCTTTACAGCACTATAGTAGGATGTGAAATGAAACTTTAAAAGTTAGATCATTTATTTTGGGCCTTTCAGCAGATTTCGACAAATGAGGTTCTTGTAAGAAACACACTTTATAGGAAAAATACATGTATAATAAAACAATCATTTATCTGTAACAAAAAGACCCAAAAAATAAGAAAACCAACACCAACTGAAGCCAAGAACAATTTGGAATATGACCCATGTTCGGCAAATATAAGCTTGAGTAGTGGAAACACCTCAGCCTGCACGATACTGACATCTTCTGATGTTTTTGTTATCAGTTCACAAAAGATGCTCTGTGCTTTGATACTAGAGATTGACCATATATGAATAGCACAATGTACGATTTCTAATAAATTATTTTCATACCCAGAAATTTTGCCAAGTGCTTAGGGCAAATCTTTGAAGTCACTAAAGTCACTATTATAGGATCGAAAGATGTTCCTTTTCGAGCTTACAGGATGATATTCTTAACAATTATAACAACTTGGGCATCCTTTCCTTAAAGGTCGATTTTAAGGTCAGAGCTCCTCATGTGGTTGTACATTTAGTATTAATGCAGGCACCCTTCTAGGTATAACCCTTATTGTGAACTGACCAACTTGGGTTACGCTAGTTCCAGCAGAAGACCGGTTCATGTAGTCACCTAGATAGGAATATCAGGCACCATGGACAGCAGTTCTGACAGGAGTGGATTACAACGACCTAATTATGTCCATAATTGCTATGTTAATACTCAGTTTGTGGGCAATATAACCACTTGGAAACCCTCTTATTACAAGTAAATTTTAAAAGTAAGTTCTACCTAGGCTTTAAAAGTGAACTCTATCCAACGTGATTGTAAAGTAATTTGCAAGAACCGAGAATGGCAAACACTTTCCTTGCTAAACCAATTTCAGATATCGAACTCTACAGTTGACAGCAAGCATTGTGTCTAAAGTGAAATATA